CTCCAGCACATTATCCACCTACATCAGCTGGTGTCCCAGTACAAGTGAGTATACCTTGGGAGGGGGTCACCTATTTGCTATGGGATTTTGTTTTGGTTTTAAAGGCAGGCTGAGTATTAAGACTATCCCTTGCAGTGTTAAATTGTACTAACTACATACAGTTTTTAAATTTAGCATTAGATATTAAGATTTCATGAATGCATATTAGTTTTCTAACTTAAAACAGATTTTAAATGTAGAAAGTGATAGACTCTTTTGATTTATTAAATGTAATTGTTGCACAAACACAGTCTTTGTGTATTTGTGAATTATATTGATGGACCAGGATAATTGTGAGCTTTTCTTGGCCTGCAAATAAATAAATAAAGACCAAAATAAACAAAGTTTTAAAATCATTAAACTTGTTCACACAGTGTGGAGTAAAAAAAATAAGTTGTATGACTATAAAGTGATGAGCCTGATTCTACCAGCCACATAAAATAATTAACCCCCTTTTAAAGCCTTTTCAAACAAATAAGTTTAGTAATTACATTCAGAGTGACCTTGGATGGACAAAGTATGTGTGGTTTCTAAACAAAAAAAATTTTAAGTTCCAAGCTGTTCCCTCCTTCCCCACCTTGCACTAGAGAAAACTACTGTTTGACACAGATATAGAGATATGTAAGACCATACTAAGCAAACTTCTGTTTTTCAGTTCTTTCTCTAGAGGTAGATAGCATCTTGCTTCATAGGCCTTTGTAGTTTATTTGGAATATTTGTAATATTCAGAATAGCTTGGTTGTTCACAATTATTCTTTGAATAATATTGCTGTTACTGTATCTAACATTTTTCTTGGTTCTGTGCGTTTTACTTTCCATAATTTTGTGTAAGTCTTCCCATGTTTTTCTAAAATCAACCTGCTTGTCATTTCTTACAGTGTAGTGGTATTTCATCGCAATCATATACCACAACTTGTTTAGCCACTCCCTCAATTTCCCATTCTTTGACACCACAGAGACCGCTACTATAAATGTTTTGGAACATATAGGTTACATATTTTACCAAAACAAAAATGGAAGTCTCGTTCAGACATCATTAAGGAGAAAAGGTAGAATGTAGGTACATAATTTAGGTGTGTTTTACATGACTATTAATTGTTTAGTGAAAAAAGAATAGTTACTATGGTAACTGCCACATCATAGAAAATGTACTTAACCAATATGTCATGCTCTCAGTTTTTGAAAATGTTGAAAAGTTCTGGGTGCAAAAGGCAGTTGAAGCTTATTCTGTATCATAATTGTTTTTCAAAGATGATGCTTGCTGCTGTTAGAAAAATGGAACAAAGCAGAGTTGTCAGGGACAGCTAGGTGGCACAGTAGATAGAGCACCGGCCCTTGAGTTCACATCCGCTTTGAGACCTGACATTTGACACTTACTAGCTTTGTGACTGTGGGCAAGTCATTTAACCCCAGTTTTCTCGCCAAAAAATAAAAACCCGAAAACATCTAATAAACAGACAGAGTTGTCTACACTATTGTTGGATAAAACCGTATATCATCTTTGTAACCATCAATCCCTGAAAAGGAATGTTTCCAGTCTAGCTTTTGTGTTTAGCTATAGTACTGATTTTGTTTCCAGATTTTTCTAAGCACAAATAAATTTTTTAAAGACAACCTTCTACAAATTTGATTTGCCACATTGCCCTGTAAAAGGTGCTGTTCCCTCTCCACACTGCATTCCAGGAGTGTTTTTGCAAAAGAATATCAAAGATGCTCAAAGGGCCCTGTTATTTCACTACCTTTATCTGTGTATTCTAATTTCCAAAATACATACACACATGTTTATTTCTGTATGAAACGCAGTTGAGGTGACACCATTAGTTATATTTGTGTGTGTGTGTTATATGTATGTGGCAGCAGTGTAGAAGAAATCCATTTTGCAATCTCAGCTTGCTCTTGATGGGTTGTTGAATGATTGCTGTGGAAATGAAGGAGTTGCACTTAAAGATTCTCATTTGATACAGAAGTATAATTTAAACCAACATTAATTTTAAAAGTTAAAAATATTTTGCAGGTGCAATCTCTTGTAGCAAGAATAGGCAAATTTAGAAAAAGGATCCATTTGTTCAAGGGTATAGCAGCTTTTTTTTTGGTGGCAGAGAATCGGAAATTGAGGGAATGCCCATCGTTTGGAGAATGGCTAAACAAGTTGTAGTATGTGATTGTAGTGGAATACTATTGTGCTATAATAAATGATAAGCAGGTGGATTTCAGAAAAACCTGGAAAGACTTACATGAACTGAAGCAAGTGAAGTGAGCAGAACCAGGAGATCATTGTGCACAATAACAGCAATATTAGATGATGAACAACTGTGAATGACTTGGCTTTTTTCAGCAATACAATGATCTAAGACAATCCTAAAGGACTCATGATGAAAAATGCCATCTACCTACAGAGAAAGAACTGATTGAGTGTGAGTGCAGACCAAAGCATAATGTTTTTCATTTTCTCTTTCTTTTTTATATTTTTGGTTCAAGTTTTCTTCCACAAAATAACTAATATGTTTTACATGATTGCCCATGTATAATCCATATCAGGTTGCTTACTATCTCAGTGAGGGGGAAGGAAGGAAGGAAGAATTAGAACTCAAAATTTAAAAAAAAGTTAATGATTGTTTTTACATGTACTTGGGGGAAAGTAAAATTTTTTTTTAAATAGGCAAATTTAGAATTGAAGAGAGAATAATCATTATTTGCTACTTATTAAGCACAGATACTTGTGCAGAATGCTGTATGCAACAGATAATCTCCTTCAAGGAGTTTTTCCCTCTAAAATTGGATTAACAAAACAAAACTAAATTAAAAAACCCCACAACAACTGTTTAGCTAAAATACCTTATGGCTTAATTATTGCCAATTTTAATAAAAGTAGAAACCTTCACCTTCAGCTGTTAAGTTGTGCTAGTTGTTTTCATTCTAGATTGAATGTCTGGTTAGTAGAAGAAAAGAAGGAAAAGGTTGGAGAGAAATCATCTGTATGGGTCTTCTTCCTATCTATAACTGACATCATTACTTTGTTAGCTTCTTTTTTGGAAGGGAGGGGCTCTGTAAGTCACAGCACAGGCATTCAGTTCTACTGGCATAAAGACTGAAAAGAAGTGATGGTCCTTTCTTCCCTTTGAGGGAGTGCAGTTTTGTGTGGCTTGTCAGCAAGTCTTTTTTCTAACAAGAGGCAGCTTGGATGGACTCCAGCAGAAAATACCTTCCAGCCCTCCACTTACAAAAAAAACCAACAATAAAACTAGGCATAGGCTTGGCACTAGGACTTGGAAGCTCTCCATTGAGAGAGCTTACAAAATCAAATACTACATGCTTCTGAGTAGGTAGGTTGGTAGAAGACTTGAACTACCTATACTACTACACTATTTTTGTTTCATTGATTTTTTTTTTGTTTAAATCACAATCCCAGAAGCCACTGAATAAAGGTTTCTTGTTTGGTGAATAGGCATATCCTGGCCAACACCATGGTGGAAACTACATGGTTCAGGGCATTCATCAAGTCACCATTCCCCAAGGATATAGTCTGGGACCAGATCACATTGGCCCTCTGAGATCTCTGCCTCCAAATATAAATTCCTCAGTAACAACACAGCCTGCTCACACTCCATATTTAAGGTGAGTTTTTGACAAAATTGGTATTTTTCTCAAATAGATTAATTTCTGAGACTGTCAGAATTTAACTTTGTAGGGCCCCCCCTTTTTTAAATAATTATACAGCCTGTTTGTGGTTTTTGTTTGTTTTTGGCTTTTTATATAGGAATTATGGATTTGTATTCTTTTTGTGAGATAGCTACCTTTGGTCAATGTAGTTTAAAATCTTGGAACAGGACAAAACGCAATGTCCCTATGAACATCAAACCCAAGACCATGTCCTCTTCAGTACTATTATTTAACCATCCTAAGTAATAAGTATAGCATCTATAATGGCTAGTTATTTGGAGCCAAAGAATCAAAAAGTAGTTAAAACACTTTCTTTTCTGTTTTAATCCAAATTGATTTATAATTTTTAGGCAAAATTTTGGTTAGATAAATTTTCCTTCTTTATGTGCAGTACCCTAAAAATCAGTAAGTCTTGGTTCCATAAATTAGAGAATTGTCTAAACTATTACCAAAATGTTAATTGTGTTGTGTACATCATCTTGCAGTTCCTTCCTTCTTTAAGTTCTATAATACTATGTCTCCTAACTGATTATTTTAAATGAATTTTTGGTGTTTAAATAATCTAGTACCTATTTGAAATTGAGTCTAAGGTGGACTTTGGTAATATTGGGCACCACTGGAAACCTTTGGAAATGCAAAAATAAATTGAAGTACAACCAATAGTAGAGAAAATTTATTTAGTTTTTAGAATTTTTCATTCATTGTGGGCATTCCTTAAGTCTACACATCCAGTCATAATCTTTCTAATGAGCTACAGCCCCAGCAACTGCCTACTGAACATCTCCACCAGGGCATTTCTTAGCATCTAAAACTCAGCATATCCAAATTGGAACTTAGATTTTCTGCCAAACCCATCCTTTTTCCACACTTCCCTATTTGCTTTGGGAGAACCATTACACTCTAATCATCTAGATTTGCAAACATAGTCATCTTCAGCTCTTCATTATCCATCAGTTTTCTTATGCAGTCAGTTGCCAAGTCTCATTAACATCTAACATCTGTACCCCCTCTCAACTCACAGAGCCTTTACCCTTTTACAATAGCATCTTAATTGGCTTCTCTATTTCCAGTCTTCACTGTTTCAGTCTATCTGTGCACACAGCTCCCAAATTAAAATGACCCAACCACAGATCTGATATCATTCCTCCATCCCTTCCCAACTCAAAAAGCTTCATCGACTCCCAGTTGCCTCTAAAATTAAAAAAAAAAAATTAGTTTGGCATTTAAAGACCTCCATGATCTGACTCCTGTCTACCTTTCTTGTCTTATTTCATATTACTTTCTATTGCAGTCAGACTGACCTTTTAGCTATTTTTCTTGTATATGATGTTCTTTTTCTGCCTTTGTGTATGTGGGTTACCATGCACCTCATAGAATCCCTAACATGTTTCAAAGCACAGCTCAGGCATCATCCCCTTGTGACACCATTATTGATTTCTCTCTCCCTCCCCACCCTTTTCCCCCATGTTAACACTCTCTTCCTCTGGGGAAATTACTTTGTATTTACTGAAGTATAAATTGCACCCTCCTCTTTTATGTCCCCTCCCCAGGATGACATAAGCTACATAAGGCCAGGGACGTTTTGTTTTTGTCTTTGTCTCCTTAGGACCTTGAACAGTGTCTTGCTCATAAAAGGCCCCTAATAACTGCCTTTGTTGAAGTGAATTGTTGAATTGATTTAATTTATTGAGCAACTGCTGTATATACAGTACTGCACTAGGAGTTATTGGGACAGGGAACTGTGTCATGTACTAATCTCTGCCCTCGGAAGGTTATATTTGGGAGATTAGACCTGTAGTGTAGCTATAATAATATAACATAAATTGTGATAAGTACCACTGAACTAGTGCCAAAAAAAAATGCTATAATAGGTCAGAAGGAGAGATTGCTTCTGTCTTAGGTGAGGTGGGTGAGAATTATTTTTTAAGGAGAAAATGTGGAGTAATGGAAAGACATCAAATTATACAAAGTCAGAGACCTAGGAGCTAATACTGGCTCTGGCTTGAACTAGTTGTGGACCTGGGCAAGTCACTTTACCTTTTTGGAGCTCACATTCATCTGTGACATGACAAGAGTTGGAGTAGATCTCTAAAGTCGCAGCTCTTAGTGGGGGTGGTTCTAGCAAGTATGAGAATAATCCCGTATTCTAGTTTTAGGGGTGATTTTTTTTGTATCAGTCTGTGATTACTGTATGATGTAGTCTGCTGGTCATGGCTGTCCTTAGAAGATTATGAAACTTAGTCCTCTCTTAAGTTGTTTGGTGCTGAGAATAGATCTTAAAACCTTTGTCTACCTCTGAACACATTTATATGCCAGAGAAATAGAGATAAAATGACCCTAATGTTAATTCTGCTACCTTCTGTGCTGTGAAAGGGTAGGTATGGGGTAGGCTGTTTATGAGCTGATTGTATTTAAGATTTTAAGGCCTTTTAAAGAAAAAAAAAGAATTAGCAGGCCAGCCACCTTCTCCTCCTGAGACCAAAATCAGAGCCAATAGAATGATACCCTAGTTGCATGGCTTGGCTTTCCAAGTTATTAAGATCACTGGAAGGAAAAAATTAAGTATGTATCTTTTGTCTTTTCCTAATTCCTTTTTTCCTTTTGAATATTAAAATTTGTGTTTTTAGTAACTGGCATCCAGAATAAGAAATCTGTTGTTTTCATGTAGGAATAATTAACTGTAGAACAAAGTGCTTGTTGAGTTTTGAAAACTAAATCATTGAAAAGTAATAATGAATGCTTAAATTAGAAGAAACTTCAGAGGTCCTTGGAAAGCATCTGTATAGCCCATTCCCTCAATATAGATGTGAAAACTGAGGTCTCAAAAGGGGAAGTGATTTGCCCAAGGTCCCACAGCTATTGTATGTCTGAGCTGGCAGTGGAAGCCAGTTCTCCTGACACTGTCCAGTGTTCTTTCTATACCATGCAGCAAAATGATAGACTATTTTGTCAAAATGATTGATCTTTCTGCCTGGAATTTTGTATAAGAAAACATTTTGGTCTTAGTGAAATGGTTAATTGTTGAAATGAGATTGTTCTTTGCTTTCTTTTCAGTACTGGAGTAGATACAGTTTCCAATCCCACGTATATGAACCAGAACTCTACCCTTCAATCAGCTGCTCTTCCAGCTTCTTACACACAGCAGATGGGAATGTCTGTGGATATGTCATCTTATCAGAACACTACATCCAGTTTGCCTCAAGTAGCAGGCTTGTCTGTGACAGTTCCAGCTCATTCAGTTGCACAACAGCAAACAAATTATCATCAGCAACCTCTCCTTTAAAAAACAGACCAGGCATAGTCTTGAAAACATTCGTAAGTATATTGCTCAACGCTTGTGATTTGAGTCATCTAAGAATGATATAAAAATACAACCATTTTCCTCTCAACTCAGAAGGACCATGAGTAAAGCACAAAAAATCTCGCTTACCTCCCCAACCCCTTGACATGAAGCAGTTTTTGAAGTAATTAGTTATGCTAGATTTTTTTCAGAGATGGCTTAAAGATAATTTGAGTTAGTTTACTCTAGCTTAAAGAGTTCCATGTAGAATTTTTTGACAAGTACTAAGTAGCCTTTTGAACATTAGCCAGTCTTTTTTTTTTAAAGCATTGTCAGTCTTTGATGTGCTTTAAAAAAACAGCTTTCTTTTCAAAATGTACTTGGGAGGGCACTTTCATCTATTTAAATAATATTTTGTCTGCATATTGTGGTTTAGCATTTTCTAAACTCTTATTCCAAAATTTGAACGTCTTTTCATTTAAAGTACTACTGGAAATTTGGCTTTGACTGTGCTACTAGCATCATTATCTGTTGAAGCAAACACGAATTCGGAGATGAAAATTGTTTTACAGTTTGAGGACCATGTAAATAGAAAAATGTGAAAGAAACACTTGGTTCTAAAGAACAGTCCTACCAATAGTAGGTTAAAGAGTGCCCCTAAATCTTGTTTCTGTTTGCTAGGGAAAAGCATTTAATTTCCTTCTGGGGTCCATAAGGTGGAGAATTGTCACAATGGCTCTTCTTGCCCAATAAAGCCATTCCCTAGTGAAGACCTGACCTAATTTTATGCCCTCTCTACCATATGGATTTCTCTTGCATGTTAAGTGTCCATAATTCCTTAAAAGGAGCTTGACATGGATTAGAAACTTCCTAAGGAGAGAAAATCAGGCTCACTGTTAACTATCTTAGTGTCAAGGGACCCTAATCATTTGAAGTGTTGTATGTTAAGCATGGCATGTGCCCTCTGTTTAATATGTTTTAACCTTTCAAAATGTGGTTTAAGTATCATTGTTGTGTCACCCCATTTAAAATATTGGATATTACTTTTAATTCCTCATTCTGAACATATGGAGTGATAGCATGCAGTGGATTGACAAATAAACTACCAAGACAGTTTTCTGGAAACCTGAATTTTAGGTGGTTTTATAGTGTTCATAGTTCCTATAGACTGTAGGAGTTGGGTGATATATTTCAAGATTGTGGGGTTTGTTGTCCCGTCTGAAAATTTGCACACTACTTCCTCATTTACCAGCTTCTTCACATGACACAAAATAGAAAATATACATAGATATGATTATGAATAACTGATGTTTACACTGGGGAAAAATAATGGTTATAACTTTAGTAATAAAAATAGTTATATGCATGGAAGCAAGATTTCTACATGTGATTTTTACATACATAATCCTTTGTACCAAAAATTATTTGGTGGTAAATTCACCAAATTTTTTGTTATTGTTTATCTAGTTAAAGAAATTATTTAGTAATGTGCTCCTTTTTCAAACTGACTGTATCCTGGAACAAAAGAGATCAATACTTGGTTTACATTCAGAGGAGGGAAAAAGCAAATTCGTATTTGAAAGCCTGCTCCAAATCATTGTCTTACTTTACGTACACATAACTGGAGAGAAATGTTTAATGTTTGTTGCCCCGTTCTGATTTTCATTCCATATTTTCTGTCTATGTGAAGTTAAATATATGTGTGTAAACATACACACATGTATCCTAAAATGGCACCTTAACTTTTTGTTAACATTTTTTCTGTTTAAAAAAATAAACAGTTTATTTGAAAAGCTGCTGTTCTTAATAGTTACTATTTGAAAACTTACACTTTTCCAAACAATATTTAATAAAAGTTATTTTGGGGTTTATGTGTGAGTTCTTCATGTGTGATTATGATTTGGAATATCTGAATAAAGCTTAATTGAATATAGTCTTTGAGCCAGTATAAATACTACCCTATCCATTAAATTTGGATCATTCAAGTAAGAGTTAAACTAATGCAGTTTTGGACTAATTTAGTTCTTTATAACATGTGAAATGTATATAAATATTGTATATGAGCATTTGTGGGATTTTATACATGTGCAGATGTATTTACTTCCTCTTAAATTAAAAGTAACAAATTTATATTTGGCATACATTTCCTTTCTTATGTGTATTGTGTAATCCACTTATCCAGATTGTAGATAGTGTAAAAAAAGTTATATCTGTCTTTACATGCTTTTTTGGTGTTTATAGGAATTAATAGGGATTTTTCCCCTTCACAATCTTATGTATTGTATTTATTTTAAGTCCTGTTCATAATTAAATGTTTGCTGCCAAAGGAATTGTCTAACTTAAGATTTCTGCATTAAGAACATACCTGTTTTATATCAGGAGTAAATAAATCGCTTCTGCTTTTTCATATGCAACCTTGTTACGTTAGAAAGAATTCCTGAAACTTTATAATAAAATTAATTTTATTATTAATGTATATAATTTGTTCCTGGGTGTTAAAATAATTAAAATTGGGTATTTTTTCTTCCACTTTGGAGAATTTGAAACCTACTGAAAATTTTAACTTGGCAGTTCATAAAATTACCTAAACATCTGTGATATTCACGGTTTTTAATCTAAAGTAATGTTTGTAAGTCAATTCATACTATTTGACTGCTTGGATTATACATATTCCAAATAGAAATTCTGATTTTTTTTTAGGTGACTTAGTTTATCATTTAAAAGGTGTGGACTTTTTTTTTCTGTTTCTTAGTTTTTGCTTACTAAGGAACACATTTTAAAAACCCCACAATAACCAGGGGAGTAATTCTTAATGTCATTATGGTGGGAAAGCTTATTTTTACAAATAATAAACACACCAATCTGCCGTCATGTGCTTTTGACAGAGGGCTTTTTCCTGATGTTTCCTTGCAACAATACATTAGTAGTGTGTTGAGAACCTGGGATGAAGGCAATGGAGGGGGTTCTGTATTGCTTTATCCACCAAGAATTAGTATTTTTTTCCCTTTTCAGGAAATGGAGCATAAGAAAAATGGTTTATATGAATTTAGGTAAGCAAAATTTGAATGGAAAATTATCAAACTTGAAGATATAGAAAAAGAAAAATGACATTGCTGACATTATATAGCATCTATTTAGAGGACGCTGGGTTCTAGGTACCTTCACACCATCTGTTTATTAAACATTATAGCGAGAGGGTTTCATTTTTTTTAGTTACTCATAGAATACTAGAAAAGAAGCACGAAACAACCTACTGTTATTTTTGCTAACAAGAAAGACAGCATTCAATTCAGCATTCATTTATTAATAATTATACTGGACACTGAAGATACAAGTGGAAAATGAAATAGCCCTGCCCTCAAAGAGCTTACATTCTACTCAAGGAAAATAGCATGTACAGGGAGAAGTATGTGCAAAATACATACTGTGCCACCTAGCTGTGGCCTCCCCCGTATCATACAATTTACCTTTAAAAAGTACTACCACTTTAGTTAATTTTGATGACCTTCAAAAATAAACACAAACATATCAGGGCTATCTTGACTTTTACCACAAAGAGCATAGTGCATTTAGTAATTAAACAGTGGAAAAAGATGGTAGTTACAAAATTTTTGATAAAATAAGCCCCTTTTAAAAGTAATATTTTGAGGTGATCCTTATTGCTAGCATTTTGCTAATCATGTGAATAATTACTTACACTCTCCAAAGCAACTGCTTTCCAAGTCAGTAACCTTGGCTAAATAATTTAACTTGTCTGAGCAATCCATTTTTTTTTTCTGTATTAATTCCCTATCTACCTGTAATTTCCATGTCTACCTCATAAGGCATGGTGAGGATCAAATGAGATAATGGATATAACTGCATTTAAGGAAAAACCACCACCACCACCAGTGACTGTCCATTAACTTTTAGCGTGTTAACAACCAATGTTTATGTGGCATTTTAAAATCTGTGGAGTGCTTTCTAATACATCATAACATTTGTGTTTCACAAAAACCCTTAGAAGTAGATAGAGTAGGCCTTCTTAATTCCATTTTGTAGTTGAGGAAACTGATGGACATATCCAGGATCACAGTCAAATGATGAGATGAGATTCAAATGAACTCTGCCATGGCACACAGTAATACAGAATGTTGGAGCAGGGAGGGGCTTCAGACATCAAGTGGTACAGTCCCATCTTTTCATTCTTATGAAATCTGAGAGGTGGGTTGGACAGAGCACAATTTGGAGTTGGAGGACCTGGGTTTGCATCCTTATCACCTGTAGCCTTAGTTTCTTTATGTGTCATGAAAACCTAGATGATCTAAATCTATGTTTCTATGCTATGAGGGCCAGAGAACACATAATTCATAAATGTCTTCACTAAACTGGAAGGAACCTCAGGCTATCTAGTCCAACCCTTTCATTTTACAGGTAAGTAAAGTGAGGCCCAAGGAAGCTGAGTGACTTGCCTAAGGTCACAATATTGCACCAGGGGAAGGATTTGAGCCCAGATCCTGTGACTCCTGAAAGGCAGCATAGAGTAGCGATTAGAGAACCAACCTTCAACCCTAAAAAGCCTAGACCTAGGTTCAAGCTCCATCCCTGCAACATACTGGCTGTGTGATCCTAGCAAGTTACAACCTCTCAGTGTCCCAGAGAAGTCCAGATTATCTGGGGTGTCAGGAAGGGGGAGAAATGTCCAATAAAGCTGGAAAGGTAGGTTGAGGTCAGGTTGTGCAAAGCTTTAAAAGGTAAGTGGGGGAGCTTATATTTGCTAAAGGCAATAGGAAGCTACTAGAGTTGATTGAGTAGGAGAGTGACGTGGTTAGATTTGTTCTAAAGGAAAGTAACTTGGGCAGTTCTAAATCCTGTGATCAATTCAGTAAATAGTCACACACAATTCAACAAATAGACACACACACTGTGCATACACAAACAATTTGGAGTAGTGGATATAGAATCTCAGATGAAGAAGATCCATCTGCCTTTGATACATACTGGTTGTGTGACCCTGTGTAAGTCATTTAACTTTCAGTAACTCAAGCAGCTGTCAAAGACTGTGATAAGTATTGTTAGAAAGAGTTTTCTCACAATGAAATCACATTTATACATATTAATCACCATCCGCATCTCAAATAACTTGTTACTAAGCTATGAATTATATTGCTGTAATGAGGATTTAGTACAGTATTAGCCAAGTCTCTGTCACAGTGTGTTGATGATATTGTGGGTCATTGAATTACAGTATAGTAATGCACTATAACACAAAGAGAAAATATACTTTTTTTTAAAGAATCTGGAGCCCTAGTTTCTAGTTCTGGGTCTCCCACTAACTAGCTCTGTAACCTTGGATAAATCACTAAACTTCTGTGGGCCTTAATCTCATCTGTAACAAGAGGTAAGGTCCCCCCGGCCCTGGGGTAGCTAGGTGTCTAGGTGGATAGAGTACCAGGCCTGAGGTCAGGAAGGCTCCTCTTCCTGAGTTCAAATTTGACCTCAGATACTTAGTATCTGTGTGACCCTGAACAAGTCACTTTACAGTGCCTCAGTTTCTTCATCTGTAAAATAAGCTGGAGAAGGAATTGGCAAAGCACTCCAGTTATCTGCCACAAAAACTCTAAATGGGGTCATGAAGAGTTGGTGATGACTGAAAGGAGAACACAATGACAAGGCCCCCTCCTATCTCTGATACCCTGGTGGCTCTGACTATTCAGGTAGAATAGGGTAGTAGGAAGATATAGGAATGGACAGATAATATGTGTAATTTGATCCATCGACATAGCTACATAATTGTTAAAAAAAACCAAACAGTAATTCCATCAAGAAATCCCAGATGGCAAGGTGAACAGAAAGAACAAAGATGGAGTGGGTTAGTGATTTGAGCTACTATGTCTGCTTTAATGGATTTCCTATGTAATATTTATAGATTTGCAAGTCTATGAGAAAACAGAGCACTTAAAAAAATGTCTGGCTTCATGTTACTTTTTCTTTTTCTCTCCTCTTAGCATGCCTAGTTTACCTCCTTGCTTCCCACAGTTGCTAAGCATGTCCCCGCCTCCAGTGATTTTAATTTTAAGTAAAGCACAATTCTTTGTGCTTTGGAGACTAATTCAAGAATCAGACACTTAAAGGTTGCTCATGCATTTTGGATAACCCCACCCATTAGAAAATGGCCATCCTTGCATGTAGTACACAAAGGCACGTAGCCGAGGGTTGCTTTAGCTGGTTGAACATGACCTTCAAAACTCCTAGGACAACGTGATCTCATGCAGGATTGGCTTCCCCATACAGGTTTGGGCTGGCAGCTTGTTCCATTGTTGCTTACTATGCGAGTGACTTTTGGCTAACAAGTGAGGCTTGCAAAAACAAAACAAATCAGTCAGATAAAAAAAAATACACAAAAATCCATGCATCAGCAGAAAAGGCTGATGAGTGAAATCAGAGAAACCTTTTTCCCCTTGCCCTTTTATACTTTCTGTACAGCAGACCCCCCCCCCCCACACCACACACCTTTGCTCTCTCAGCTGTGTGCTGTACTGCACCAATCTCCATCTCCAAGTCCCTGATTCATGAACTGTGTGCTTCCTTTGTCTCTCATGTAAAATTGTGCAGTATTTTTATCTCCCTCTTCCCCCCCCCCGCCCCTTTCATCTTCTGGAAAGCCCGGTTGTGTGGGGGTGGGGGGGTCTGAATCTTTTTTTTTTCCTGTAGGATCAGGCAGCAAAATCCATGATAAAACCCCATTCCCCTCTCCCTCTTCCCAACACATTGCTCCTTGAGTTTGTGCCCACTCTCACCAGAGCCCAACTAGCTCGGCGGGAGAAAGTGATTCTGTAGCTTTAAGGTGCTGCTCGTGCAAAAGTACCACCGGAGGCGGGAGCCACAGCCATCCATCCGCCCCGCGGGCAGGCAGGCAGGCAGGCGGGTAGGCTAGCCCCAGTGGCTGCTCTGGCTGCTGCCGCCGCTGCGCCCAGGGGCCCAGAGGCTAAAGGGGTGAGGGAAGTCACTGCCCTCCCCTTCAGTCCTTGCCCCTGCCAAGCCAGCTGTCCTGAGTGAGGAGTGAGTAGGGGCAGGCAGGCCATGCAGCTTTAAACCATGTCTCAGCTCTCATCGTCGTCGTCCTCCTCCTACACCAAGAACGGGATTGCAGACGGGCAGCACTCCCCCGGCTCGCAGGTACCTCCTCCTTCGCAAGCTTTCGGAACCACCTCCATCTGCCTCTTGGCGTGCAGTACCCCAGTCCTGTGAAGCAGCAGCAGCAGCAGCAGCAACCTCCGCTCCCTACCTCCTCCCCCTTTTCCCTTTCTCCTCCCTCTCTTCTCCCCTCCCTCCCTCCTTCCTCCTCCTCCTCCTCCTCCTCCTCCTTTTCCTTTTCTCAGTCTCTTGCTTCAGCTAGAGGAGCCGGCTGACCTCCCCCCTATCCGATGCTGGGAGCTCCTGAGCCAGCTCCTTCGAATCTTTGTTAATGGATGTGGTGGGTGTTTGGGGCTCCTTTTGTCGTGTGTGTGTGTGTGTGTGTGTGTGTGTGTGTGTGTGTGTGTGTGTGTGTGTGTGTGTGTGTGTCTTGGGGGGCTACTTGGGCTGTCCGGGGTTTGGACCTGGAGCTGCCTGGGGCTCATCCGGATTCGATGAATGATCAGCTCTCTCACTCCTTGGCCAGTGACCCTGCTGCTTTAGTCGCAGGTCCATTTTCTTCCCCAAGCCCTCACCCCCTTTTTTCTTATCTTGTCGAGTTCAGGTGGCCAGAGGCACCACGACCCGGAGGAGCAGGTTGAAACGATCCGATGGCAGTACCACTTCGACCAGTTTCATCCTTAGACAGGTAGGAAGAAGCGGGAAGGACGAAGAAGAGGAGGAGGAGGAGGAGGAGAAAGAGAAAAAATAGGAGGAGGAGGAGGAGGAGGAAGAGGAGGGAGAGCGAAGGGGAGAACGAGGGAGCGGTGCACTTAGCCCAGGCAGTCTGGGCTCCCCAAACGGGGCGGGGGCGGGCTCAGAAGTGGAAACCTCGCGGCCGCCTGCACGTGTAGGAAGGTGGCTGTCGGTCCTTCCCGCCCCCCCAAGCAGACAACACAAACACACGCCCGCCTGGGGCTAGTTGGTTCTTTCTGGATTTGCCTTTGGAACTTCTCTTTCTCTTTTCCTTCTGCGACTCGCAAATTCCCTCCTCCTCACTCCTCTCCCCAGTCCAATTCTTGTCTCTTATGGTTTCGGGGAGAATGTCTGGAATCCGCGAAGTATATTTGTTCCACACTAGAGTTAGTTTTGTGTGTGGAAAGGGAAAGAGCTCAAAGGCTCAGTAAAGAAAGAAATTGCATTTGTTTTGGGCTGTGAGCCCCAGAGCTGGAGGAGTTTCTGTTTTCTTCTCCGGGGTTTGGGAAAGCATCTTCGGAAGATGTGGCCTTCCTTGCCATCCAGAAAACAGTTTTGGACAGGGACCTCTTCTCATATGGGTCACAGACATCTGGGATGCTGAGAGTGGAGTGTGTGTGTGTGGGGGGGGTGTCTTTCATTTTAGACGACTTAACCTGGGTCATGAGGGAGTACCAGAGAAGCTAATTTTATTAAAAGTTTATTCTCAGTTTAGGAAAGCTTCTTTGCTTCCCTTCACTTGAAAAAAGGTTTTCAGCTCTCAATAAGATTGTAGTAGGAGAAATCTGATGGACAGTTATCTTATTGATTAGAATTTCTATTAGTACCTTTTTTTTTTTTGAATGAGTATGGAGTGTGTTGATGATATTTGTTATTGCCAGGGACAATGAATGTTTAGAGAGTTTTCACTTTGGTGAACTGTCAAACTGTGTTCATTTTTATTGTAATTGTGTGGCAAATGAAACACTCCCGGGATGCCACATTTAAAAGACAGTGAAAAGGTGAGTCACCTTGACTCCAATACAGCAGCTTTCATGGTGTGTGCTCTGGGGTTACTGCAGGGATCTGGTCCTCAGCACTAGGAGGCTCTTTATCCCCTCCTCTGCTGTGGATTGCTGGTGTGACCTTGGGAAGTTATATTTCCCCTTGGTCACTCAGTTTCTCGTGTGATGTGTTTCTAACTTATGATTGCCAGTCGATTTCATTTTTTAAAATTAGCCTCAAATTGAAGGTGGCTAATCAACATGGCATGGATATATGATATTAAAAAAAAATCAAATGGTGACTTTGTCCTAAAGGTCATGTTACTTAATGTGTAATGTATCAGCTTTCTCAGAAACAGAGGTTTTATCACTCCAGCAATTCTTTAAGCATTTAGATATGCAATATGAGTTCCCTGTAGGTAAGCACATTTTGGATTCACTTTGATATTTTCCCATTTTCATCATTTCTTTTTAAAACACATAAATGTTCATCTTTGAAAAGAATTTGAGTGTTAAAAGTATTTTGATGGTTTCTGGTATTTATTTTGTAGATGCCTATTTTTAGGAGTGTTTTATTGATGCAAACTGTTGGAAGCCCTAATTATACATCAGTGATACCTCTTTTCACATTACCATGGCATCCCATGAACAATTTGGCTCAAACTTCCCTTTTTATCTGTATCTCAACTTCACTCACCCGTTATTCTTCTATTGCGAGCTGCTGATTATACCACAAAGATCAATATTCTTTCTCTGCTTCTAGTTTTCTTCCCCAAGTTTATAAAAAAAAACTCACCCACCAAACTCAAACTGCTGCATATCAGCTGTTTTTCAGGCTAATTTCATCTGATATACATTTTTACATTTCTGTCAAAGGTATTTCAGATATCTTTTCAGAAAAAGACTTTGTTGGTTTAGTAAAATGGACTCTTTTAAATCTAGAAGATATTTGTGTTAGCTTAGAAAACCAAGAAAAAATAGAAAACTTGGTTCACAAAAGAGATTATTCATACATTCTTCCTATTTATTTTCTGCACAGCATAGCTGTGCCTACCAAAATGGCTGCAAGACAAAGCTGAGAAATTTCACATTTCTTCAGAAGTGACCAAAAATGGCGACATGAATTTGCCTTGACCTTATGGAATGAAATTGAACAGTGGCCCTACCAGATAACAAATATCTTATTAGAAGACCCTGTACCTGTTCCTACGAGACATTAATCACTTTAGTAACATTTGTTGAATAACTGAATTCTTGAAACACTGGGAATAATGAGATTTCTTGTGAAATTCCATGAACTTTGTGTAATCAGCACAGAGAAGAGCTTATTAATGTTGAAAACAACACTGATTCTTCCTCTGCCTTGGGTCCTTTTGGCTTATGAAGTAATTTTCCCCTGAAGAGCTCAGGGTTCTACGGTGTGATCAAGACTCTTAGAATCAAAATCAAAAGGTTCTGTGTAGTCTATGCTTCCATTTACAGATCCATTCAGTTGTGCCTCCTTTAAGTTCTATTGAGTTCACAGCTGAGAGGATGGGGGCAGTCAGAAATGGAGAATGACCTTTTGGGAATGAAGTTGAGATTACTTGTTGGGAAGCCCTCATCAAATTTAAAGTCTCTTTTCTTATGCCTGTTGTAAAAACTAAGTGTATGAGTGTATATGTGTATGCAGCACAGAGCCTGAAAATATTCACAGAATCAATTAAATAGCTGCAGTGACTTTCTTTTAGTTTTTGTAGGGTCTCATGAGTGTGGCTTCCCAAATTCCCTAAGGTAGTATTGACCTTATTTCCTGTTTTGTTAGAACACAAGGAGTCAATTCTGAATTCTGGAATTTGGGGGTAGTTTTCTTTTAGGAAGAATCTTTCAGAGAATCCAAAGGAAAGCTTCCATAGGGTTTCTTTCAGCAAATGTTGGGAGGATTCATTTTGTTCAGCCAATGGGAGAGAACTCTGAAAAGGTTATTCAACATAAAGATCTTCAACTATACTTTGATACTCTGAGATGATCAAATTACAGAATGATGGATTAAAATTATTTTTACTAAGGTGGAGTTTTCTGACAAGAGATTTGTTGGATATTAACACTGGGTATCTAGGGGAGGCTGTAGAATTTTCCTGGAAATCCTTTGAAATAGATTGTATAGTTTTACTGAAACACAGAGGAATTAACGTTAACTCTCAAGAAATTTTCCAGCATTCTAATTCTGTGATCTAGGTATGACACGAAGATCATAGGATTTGGACTTGGAAGGGACCTTTGAGGTCATCAAGCTTTACTGCCTTGTTTTAAAGGTGGGAGAAATATGATAGTTAATCAGCAAGGATTTTTTAAAGCACTTAACCATGTACCAATCAACCAATTAATAAACATTTATTAAGCACCTGCTATACTGTGCTAAGTGCTGGGAATACAAAGGCAAAAAAAAAAAAAAGACATAATTCCTGCTTGCAAAGAGAGATCTTTTTTAGGAATCAGCCATGTAAGGAACAGAGAGAAGACCAATGGATCTTTGAATGGGGGGAAGAGATTAATATATAACAAAGTCAGCTGATGAAATTGCTGTGTTTTTGTTGGTCCACTCTATTGCTGGGAGATTATTAGCTAACACTCCTCCCACTCAAAGTGGGAGCTATCACATAAAGTTTGTTCCATGACCTATGCCCCCCCCTTCCCCCAATTTGGAGTGAAATGACTTGACTCAAGTTATATAGAAAGTAGTAGAGCCTGGACCCAAACCTAAGTCATTCCACTCTAAGTCAAGGGATAAACTTTAAGAGTGTCTGATTTTTAAAAATCTATTTTCTCTCTGCTCTGAGAGGCTAGCCAGCTAGTAATTACATAGTAATGTGGGTAGACAAACAAAAACCCAGCAGTGAAATTAGGCAGCTTTCTAATTGACTGAGAGTTAAACTGGGATTTTTATAATGGACCAATAAATCCAATTCCGAGCACCAATTCTGATCAGTTGGGTCAACCCCAGATTTGGAGGCTGGAAGATAACTATGTTCCATGGGTTCATGAGGGAGTCAGATTGTTATTTTGGGGGCTCCTGACCTGGTGAGAGTCATAGACTAGATTAGGCCGGAAGAAATTCAATTAATTAAATAGAATACATTAGGAAGTTTTCAGTGTCACCTTATTTGGGGCTGAGGTATTTTTTTTTAAACTTCTAATTATCTTACACTGGTATAATGCTCCTGAATATGCATGATCTCTTATTCCTTATAAATAAACCTTGGTAAGACCACTCTTGTGATATGAAGCATGTGATGAACAAGGGTAAGAATAGAAAGAAGGAATGGATGCTAGCCAGATCCAAGTGCCCATTTGCATTTGCAGATGGGATTGAGTGCAGTAGATATCTGAAATCAAGATGTCAAACATGCTCAGGGGTCAGGAGGCTTTAGGAGATATGCTGCCTTGAAAGTTTAGTCTGTAGTGAAAGATAAATGTCAGTAGAATGTAAGCTCTTTAAGGGCAGGGACTGTCTTTTGCCCCAGTGCTCAGGGGATAGTAGGCACATAGTACGCACTTAATCAATGTTTATTAAATTGAACAGGGCCTTTTCTATTACTTCCAGGGGAAGAAGATGAATTCCCTGAAAAGCTGGCTCAGTTCAGGAAGGCCTAAGGATAACCAATTATATACACTTGGCTTTCTGGGCAGAGTGCAATATAGTATGTATCTAACTTTGTCAGAACACAGTGGGACTGGGTTGAGCCTACCTCTTCTTGTCAGTGGAGTTTGATGTCTAGGTCAATTCGTAATGTACAATTAAGGCACTGAATCCTTCTATGACATAATTTTGATTCAGTATTGTTGACAAGATAAAACAAGAGAATCTAATGTATGTGTGCTTATGTATCTCAGAGCAACAGAAGTTCATCATGTAATACTAGAGCTGGAAAGAATGACAGATCACCTACTTCAAACTCAAATGAAGAAACTAAATTCTGGAGGTAGGGAG